CTATCTGGACATTATAAAGATTTTGCATGTGAAATTTGAAAAATTTCTTATGCATAAAGGTATTTTTAATCTCAAAACAAAAATTAATTTGCATGTTGGATAGGCAACATGAGAAAAGAAAAGAGGCATGAGAAAAACATTGCTTAACAAACCTTAAGACTTAATAAAAAAAAAATTATATTTTGCATATGAAAGCATTGTAATGTTTACTGGTAATCTGACAAATTTTGTTAACATATGCTTACTAATATAAAAGCTATAGCATGAAAACTATAACAAGTACAAAATGTTTATGAGGTCGGTACCAGGAACCAAGCCCGTTCTGAAAGAGTTAATCACTGCTATTCTTAATGTACTTTTAATGCATTGAATTTAATTATTTCACACAATTTTGAGTCAGTACTTTACAGTAGCAAAAACACAAAATTACTCAATATTATAATAATGTAATATGTTGATCTCAATGGTGGTGAACAGGATAAAAAAGTTAGTAATCAGAGATTGAGTTAATCTGTCACCTAATATGAAAATGCGGGAACAAAAACCAGAAAAATATGCATTCAACAACATTCAAATTTTTATCACTAGAAAGAGGAAAATAGTGGGGAAAAAAAGTATGAAGAGAAGCACATCAAATGTCCCTTTTTATCATCCAGCACTGAAATCTAAAACTTGAACTTAGATTTCAATGCAGCCTGATTCACATAACATCAGAGAGGAGAATAATTTTGAAAAAAGGGGAACCTACCCATACATTCTTCATCTCTGAGAAAATAAGAATTCCCTAATCCAGAGAAATTTAGAAAGATTTACAACAATAAGATAACAGAACTGAATAAAGGAGGTAGAGATAAGCCCTTCCATTAAGTTGTAAGAAGAAGAAATCCAAGACTTTTGGGACCATCAATTTTGGAAGTTCAATTCAAAAATTTGGTGGTTTCAGAACATTGTACTGCTGTCAAAAACCAAGCAACTCTGTCTTGTTGCATGGTCCAAACCAGGTCATTAGGACTGGGTATTATTATTTCCTCTGTGTGTATGTGTGTGCATGCAGTGTTGCACTGGGTTTATCTAAGAAGTGTTACAAATGGTGCCAATATATTCCAAATATGTTTCAAGGAATTACAACAATACCCAAAATAACATATAATGTCTCCCTATCCCTATAAAAAAAAAGACTGATTAGCACAGGTTGCAATTTACTCTTGCAATCATTTCAATTGAACAAGGAATTAAAAGACAACTTAAATTTGTACCCCATGACAAAGTTTTATTTAACAAAAAAAAAAAAAAAAACACTACAAAATATTTAGGGTCAGTTGGAAACTGAGAAAAGAAAATTTTTTTTAGGCCTATGGGCACATGAAATCAAATTATGGATGTCCGGCGGACTTGCACAAGTTAAATTTTCAGTGTCCAAAGGAAATTTTTAGGTGTATTATATGCCAGGACATCCACTAACTGAAGAACTGAGTTTGAAAAGGAGGTTTTCAATGATCCTCAGAAGTTAGGACTCAAGGTGCAAGCAAAGGCTAAAACAAGTTCTATACATGGAAAGAAACATCTGTAGTAAAAGTATCTAGCAAACAAAAACTGATACCTCAAAGAACTTAAAGAAGCATGACAGCAAAAAAACTCAGCTCATGCTATTAACCAAGAAAAGATAACTACAAAAAAGAATCTTGTAATTCACATCTCAACAAAAGAGAGGAGCTGCACATATGATACAAAACTCTTCTGCCAAGCCCTAGAAATGTCACAAAAAAAGAACTTAAAAACAAATAACTAGGTGGTCATCAAACAATGAAATAAGCAAGCATACTATGATCTCCTAAAAGACAATAGACAAGTACAAATGGGACAAATATCTCATCTAATCATATATTTCACTATTCAATAAAATGTGATACGATCAGGTATATTAATTTTGCTATGAATTCAATAATCAGAGAGCATTTCATCGATAGATTACCTCAAAATATTATGCAAGCATGATACTATTTCCATGAGCATCAGAAATAATAGGTATTGCATCATATAGCATATTGGTACTGTCTACTGGCTTCTAAACAGTAGCATCTTCCTCAGTACTAAAGGGTGGAAGCTCTAATAGTCATAACAGCCCTAATACATATTGTCATTATGTACTTTAAATAAGCATAACACCCACCCACTGTATTGCCACTGCATGCCCTAGGTAGTTACAGTAGCAACAGCAAGCAAAATCCAAACAGCCTTAGAAGGTGATCAAGGGTATAAAGCACTGTCTCATACCACCATATGATGCATTCCCTTAGAGGAACTGGTCATTCCCATGTACATCCTACTAATGCAATGAGCAAAATTCTGGATGTAGCTTAAAATAACGTGGAATGGAAAAGTAAAAATATGGATTAGCTTGCTTGTCGAAATAATGTCAAAGTAAAAAAAAACATCTAGAGGTAGATTAGTATATTTACATAAAATTTAAATAAGAATTTTAGACAATTCATCATGTTAGTTATCTTCTCCTTTTGCATTAATAAAAATACAAGGAAAATCAGAAACACTAACGTGGTAGAAGGTAATTCGACTCAAGTTCATATTTACCACTACAATATATAAATTCATTTCCAACAGTTATCTCACTAATCAAAACTGTATTTCCAACTTCACTCCATCACTAATACAATTCAAAAAAAAGACTGTCAAAAATCCTAAGAATTTTAAGAACTTTAAGCAAATGATTCTAATTCTTTTATAATCTATAGAAATCAAATCCAAAACTATAGTACAAAACATCTCATAGCTTAAATTTCTTAATCAGACATCACTCTAGAACTAGAAGTAGAAACCCCTATAACTTGTAAGTGTAAGTTGGACACCTGTCTCCACCTTACTAGTACTGATACTAATACTCAGTAATACTAGAAGTAATACTATTCAACTTGTAACTTTTTTGTCAATTCCCTATTAGTATTACACTTATATTGCTCTACCATTACCAGTTAGGATGGGAAGCATACTTATCAACCATACTACTACTAGTGGAACTGAAACTGAAGCACTGAAACTGTTTAAGAGTTAAACAGTTGCAAACCCACTTAATATCACGATAATTTCAGAAAATTAGCGAGAAGATGCAAAGATGCATCATAAAAGTATAACGTTAATAATAAATAATATACAAAAATTACAGGTTAAGTATTTAATACTAATGGTACTTTAGTAGTCAATACTAAATTTAGGCGTAAAAACATTCATATCAAATGGTAGTACTATAACTTAAAAGTCTAATAATAATACTAATGATAAAAGTACCAAACATAACCCATCAAAACGAGCATGCTACTTACGCAACTTAATGTTTCCTTCAAATCATTTTGCAATATAAGTTTACATGGGAATTAACCCTTTCCATTGTTTGTGTAACATACTTATACTATACAACTAGTGTTATTTTTTATCACTGAAACATAAAAACTTATTTTCATCGGCAGGTCATGTGCTTAATACATCAGTGGCTCCTACTGGAAGAAACAGAAGTGATTGGAATTGATTTTAATAATAATTATTAACGTCATTATTTCAGAGGGGATAATGAACATTCGAATTTCGAACAATTATGTTTACGCTTTTTATTTAAGATTCGATTTGTTTCCAGTAAAAGGTAGCGATACTTTTCAAAAGAATAAGGCAAAATCCATTATAGCACGCATCATCATTATTTATTTCATATAAAGCTAATGATCGGACTTACAACGCTAGAATCCGGGTTTCGATACCCGTGGTGGGCAGAGCACAAATAGCCCATTGTGTAGCTTTGTGCTTGATTACAAACAAACAAACAAGCTAATGATGGTAAAAATCCGAGGTTTAACAAAAAGTTAGGTAAATAACGTTAACAAATAACAACAATGAAACCTAAGTGTTTTTGACAGATGGAGCTGCCTTTTTCAGTTCTATTATTAATATTAATGTGATATTGCATAAAGAGTATTTATGTTTAGTTTATCTCATAAAACAATTAGATCTACAAGACCGAAAAACAGAGTGAATTACCAGAAGCACTTAGAATTTTAACATTAAAGTATAAAAAATAGCAATAACCAGAATTCATTAAGCCTGCGATTTGTGATAACAATCACATTAATTGCTTACATTTTATTCCTGTACTTATCTTAATTTATCCGCTGCAGAATCAAAGTTAAAGGTGTTTCATAAAAGCATTTCGGATCTATCTTTTGTCTTCTAGTCCAACTGACAAGTTCTGGTATTGTGTGAAAGGTCTTCTTGGGTAGTGACGTATGGGAGACAAAAATAGAAGTGAAATGTTATCTTTAAACACTGATAACTTTGAATCCACAATAGACAATTTCAGATTAATATGGAATAATATGAAATTAATGTGAGTGTGAGAGCTAGACTGATTATTCATCAGACCACGACAGAGCACTGGAAGTTTACGGTTGCATTGAAAGATTTGCTGTTGGAGCTCCTCTAGATGAGTAACTCCAACTTCTCCCCTTAAGTTATAAACGTACTTATTTGTTTAATATTGTTGTTTTTATTTATTGTTGTAAAGAGTATGTATGGCTAGAATTAATGATTTTTATTGTGTGTATACATATATATTGCATTAGGGTCTAGCTGCGGGGTCTGGAAGGGGATTGCCATTGTCTGGGGCTGATTAAGTTGATGGTTAATGTATCCTCCTCGTGTAAAAGACAATAGATCATCCTTTAATGTATTTAATTCGCTTTTAAATTTACTAATGTTTTCCATTTGTACTTCTTGCCAATGTTGTTGACTTTCCTGTAGTTGCTGCTGACTTTCTTCCTGTTTTCTTTCTTGCTCTAGTTGACACTGCTGTAATCTCTCTTCTTGTTTCTTTTCTTTTTCCACCAACAACTGCTGTAATCTCTCTTGTTTATTTTGCTGTTCGAGCTGCCATTGTTGCAGGTTTTCTTGCCACTGCT